GGTTTCATCTCGATATCTTTCTATGCGCTTCTTCTTCACTGCTATGATTGTTTGTTTGTTAAAGCATAAAGGACTATCAATTGGTATCAGAGCCGAGGCGTGAAAAAGGTTGAATCTATCTGCTAGTTTTTGAATCTAACGAAGAACTGCTCTGTTTTTCTTCTGTTTTTCTTTGATATAGAGATTTGCTCATGTTATCTTGTTTGTGAATGAAAATCTGTAAAATTTATATTGTTGGAATCGCTTTTTCAAAACGATTCTACAACATATCTTCGTTTTCGATTTCTGCATTTTTAATATTCGAAGATCTCTACACTGAGATCTCGAGATTCTATTTTTACATGCTGCAGAAATGATTTCGACTTGAAACTGATACAGGAAGAATCTCGACCTTTTGGGCTATTCAGAACAGTTTTCAGATTTTCAAAATTCGAAGTTTTCATTTTACAGGATCTCGACATTTTGAGGATTTCGAAATTTGGGATTTCGAAATTTGGGATCTCGATATTTTGGGATTTCGATGTTTGAGATTTCGACATTCTGAAAGATTTCGAGATTTTTGGAGTTTCTCGATGTTTTGAATCTTTCGAAGTTTGCAGTTTCTTGAAACTCAGAATTTTTCGAAGCTTGACATTCTTCACAGTTCATCGAAACTTTACATTATAGGATTTTTGAATGATTCCATGCTTATCAAATTTTTTAGAAGTTTTCGATGTTCTGATGTTTTTCAAACAACAAGTTCTCGATATTCTGAGGTTTTCGAAATTCCAAAGTTTTCAATGTTCCAAACATTTTGAAATTCTGAAGATTTCGAAGTCTCGTGGATTTGTTTTGCAGGTGGATTTCGTCTTTATTCTTCGAGGCAACCTCGAGATTAAGATCTCTATGTTTAAACCTCGAGATTGTAATTTCGAAGTTCAGACCTCGAGACTGTAATGTTGAAGTTTAAACCTCGAGATAGGAATCTCAAAGTTTAAACCTCGAGATTGTAATCTCGAGATTTAAAACCTCGAGATTGTCATCTCGAAGTTTAAACCTCGAGATTGTAATCTCAAGATTTAAACCTCGAGATTATAATCTCGACGTTTAAACCCCGAGATTGTAATCTCGAGATTTAAACCTCGAGATTGTAATCTTGAAGTTTAAACCTCAAGATTTAAACCTCGAGATTGTAATCTCGAGATTTAAACATCGAGATTGTGATCTCGAAGTTTAAACCTCGAGATTGTCATCTCGAGATTTAAACCTCGAGATTGTAATCTCGAGATTTAAACCTCGAGATTGTAATCTCGAAGTTTTAAACCTCGAGATTAGGATTTCGAGGTTTTGCCCTAGAATTTGTTTAAACTCCACCTCCTCTCGATATTCAACATCGAGAACCTCAACTTCAGAGAAATTTCTCAAAAACTCAAAATTCGAGATTTTCAGCAATATTGCACTGTTTAGGCCATAACTTTTGACTCGGTGATCCGATTTAAGCGAATCATATGTCGTTGGAAAGCTAACGAAAAGATCCACATGAATTCCTGGGGTTTAACCCAGAACCCCCAACCACGCGACCTCACTCGCGGTTCTTGAGGGAGATATCGTTCGTTTTCCGACAAACATTGTCATTCACCGATGTCAAGGTCAAAATTTAGGCAAATCTGTTCAAATTCTTCCAAAGTCAAACCTAAGGTCAAAGCTTTTCTAAACTACACTGTAGAGGTCCTAAAATCGTAGATAATTCAATCAACCTCGCGTCAACGGTCATTCTACAACAATCAACAATCAACTAGTGAAGCCCCCCCTAACTCATCAACATTGTGTATTCATCAATATGCTGAAATTCTAAATGATGAGCTTAGGGAAACCGTCATGTGTGGTACTTGTTCAAATTGCTCCACACACATGGAGGGTATGACAAGCTGTGAGCAATCAATCCTTGCACACTGTGAGGGGGAGTTTCAAATTTCTCCTACTGGCACCTTACACCGATAAAGCAAGGAATCTCTCCAAGGATGCAACATTTTAGGGGGAGTGTTCAGTGTTCTCCTCCCCGGTGCCTAACAATGACAAAGCATACCGAGTGCTCCAGTTGAGGGGGAGTACAGAGAGAAAATCAAGAAACAAATGAGAGATCATGTTCCTATGGCTTAGTAAACCCAACTAAGCCTACCCAAGGGACAAAGCCGATAGTAAGTGAGTGAGTGAGTGAGTGAACATTATGAGAGTTAGGAAGCAGAAGGCTCAAGTGAGCAAGAAAACAATAATCAATGATGAGTCTGCTATCTCAACTGCCTGCTATGAAGTGAACATTTACTCCTAGCCACTCAAATACTCTGGACTATCCCCATAGGTTCAGGACTGATTTAATCAGATCTCGAGTAGAAGTCACTGCATCTTGTCCAAAAGTGCATGCTTAACCCTACCCAACACCACTCATTTATCTCCCAACAGACAAGTGTTTATTCATATTTCACGGGGAACCGCATCTCTCATTACTGTCTCCTCCCGAGTCAAGTGATACTGACTACAGTGGCCTCATCCCCATGTCACTGAACCTTCATTGATCACGTCGTGTCTAGTTACCCACTCCCAAATGTTTTGAAATTTTCTAGGACGCAGACACACTTTTTGAGTCAGTCGTAGGTCTTCAAGACCCGCGAGAACTTCCATAGGGCTCATCTATTACATATGTAGACTAATGATTGAAAGGAAGTCCTGCTGTTGCAACATAAGAACCACCAACATTTTCAGGCCATTGCTTTAGAGTATAGTGATGAAAACGGGCATTTACACGCCCCCGGGGGACTACGTTATCATTTTAACTTTCTGTTTGTTTTTTTTGTTTTATTTCCCAGTTCGAATAAAACAATAAAGGCATGACGTCTCGATTCATCAGATCATCATGAGGAGGAGAGTGGTCCACATGCTGTTAACTCAACAAATCATTCTGGGACACTTCTCTCCTCCAACACTTTCTCTCCTATCTCCATCAAAAGCTTCAAATCAAATGGTCAGTTATGCTCACATGTCAATCATTATGTTCCGCTGTGCCACCGACAAGTTCTCCTCAAAAGCATTCACCTTAAATAGTCAAAAAGACTACATTGTTGAGGAGACAGAGGTCGGGTAATCAAATTCTGAAGATGAATCCCATGTGCGTCTGCAATTCTTCAAGAACATTCATTCTAGAGGCGCCTTCGGATTTGCAGTCAAAGTTGATCATGAGTAACTTCGAGAAGGCAAGGATTACAATCAAGGTCTTCAAGATTCCTCAACCCCGACATCAAAGATCAAATTGCCAAGAAGATATCAAATGAGAGATTGCAAGGATTTCTTCAGAAAGCCTTCTTAAGAAGTCAAGTTCAACATGAAGACAAGGAAGCTGAACAAGACAAACACAAAGACAAAGATATCTGCGTTTCAATGCTGATTGAACACGATTGAACATCAAGGGGGAGATTGTTGGGAATATTTTATGGTGTTCAATCTAATTAAATATCTTTGTATTTGTGTAGTTATTAATTAAATGTGTAATATGGGCCACAAATGTATATCAACCCGTTAGCTTCTTTGTAATCCATAAGTTAACCAACCTCTCCTATAAAAGGAGGCTAACTTATGGAAACCCTAAGGCTGGAGAGTGCAAGAGGCGAGATAGAGATAAGGTTTTACGCTGCTCTCCTTCTCGAGGGAGAGCAGCGGCCATGTTCACGGTATACCAGATTTGGGTTTCATCTCGATATCATTCTATCTGCTTCTTCTTCACTGCTATGATCATTTGTTTGTTAAAGAATAAGGGACTATAAAAAAAAAGAATAAGGGACTATCAAAGACGGAACCTCTTCTCTTCCATAGGGGACGGCCGTCTGGTGGACCTTAATGGGTTTGTGGGCCGATCCTTGTTGGGCCATTAACCCAACAGTGTATATGATCGTGAAGTGTACATATACTCAATTTAATATCTAAGAGTGTGTGGGCCGTGGATCCGAGCCCATTACTGTATCTAGAGTATTTTTATAAATATAAAAAAATTATAGTGGTGTATATCTAATTAAATATTAAAATTATAGGAGTTGGATATTTATAAATGCTTGAGTAAATTCCAAGAAATATACCATATCTAAACAATTGTGTCGTACGTAATGAGATTCTCTTCTTTTTGTATTTTACAAACTCATTATTGTAATGCTTAATTGTTAAGAGAATTTAATGTAATGACTTTGGAATTCTCTAACAAGGGGTTAGGGACAAGGCAATCGTACATGTACATCTACACCCGTTTTTTTGTAATTATTTGCAAGTTAGAGGAAAATTAATAGGCTGAGCTTCCTTCCCCTGCTCCACTCACGGTCACCGTAAGTGCTTCTTTCCTTTCCTTTTGTTTATTCTCCTTTTTTTGTTTTTATTTGTTTGTTCTCCTTTCTTTTTTTAGGAACCTCCTACTTTAATGTTATATATTCAATTATTATGAAAATGTATATTATAAAATATTATTAATATGTTTCAGTTTATTTTTTAGATTCATGTTGGAATTGATTATAGATATAGGAGGACAAACCATGATACTCAATTTCATATTTTCAATACTGAATAGAGAAGGTTTGATGCTCAATAAAATGTCTTGAAGTTCAACTAAAACACTTTTGATTTTCATATCAATACTCATTTTGTAAATTACGTTTGTTCAGTTTGTACTCATATTATGCTCATTTTTAAAATGACATATTCATGCAATTTTTGAAAGTTACATATGACGTTAGATTCACATTGTTAGGTTCATAGTACTCAACCGAATAAGTCTGGTGCTCATTGAAAGTGTTTTAATGCTCATAATAGTCTGATGCACATTAAAAGTTCATTAATGCTCATTTAACAGAAAAAGTGATTTTCGTCTCAATAGAGGAGGTTTGATGTTCAACGAAAATGTCGTTTCGTCAACCTAACAAACCTTACGATTTTCATATCAATGAACATTTTGTAAGTTACGTATGATCATCTGGTAGTGATCTTATGCTCATTTTTTAATAATACTATTCCTACTGAAGGTATCCGAGCTTGCGCTACTATAATCTTCGGCATAGCGGCATAGGTGATCTTATACTATTTTTTTAAACAGAAAGAAATAAATCAAAAATATCCTACTGCATAATTAATAAGCTTCATTTTGCAAATATTTACAAAAGTAGCGGTGTATTTTGCCATTAGGCATAGCGGAAAGTTTTCAAATAGAGTGAAGGATGTTGCTTGGGAACCAAACATTCCATCGGTCACAAAGCTTCTTTGTTACTGAGCATAGTTCAACAGCAAAAGCATGGAATTTGATGGATGCCCTTTCAATAACAATGCCTTCTCATCTCCATATGCTAATGAATTAATCAGCGTCTCCTTCCCTCACCTCTTTTGGTACGTACTACTGCAGATCCGGGCTTCATTTCGCGCGCGTCGGTTAAAATGTAAGTTTTTGCCTCCCGAGAAATCTCTTTGTGATCTGATCTTCAATAGTAATGTTAGATTCCATCGTTCTATTCATTTCAACTGTGTTCTTCTTACCTGTTCGTTTGTTTTGCATCTAAGATTTTCTAGGTTTACAATTAGGTTCACCTAAATTTGAGCACAGCTATTAAAAGCTTAAATATTTATACTTAAATTAGTATGTTTGCCTAACTAGCTTAAGCTCAATTTAAAGAAACTTTTACGGTATTCAAATTAATTAAGCTAATAATTATCCAAAGCAGAACATAAATTGCCCTGAATAGAAGTAAAACCGTTTTGAAATTCCAAAATAGGAATTCATGTTTTTATTCCTTAAATAAGAGTAATTTCTATCAAGTTTGATATTATCAGGATTTACTCTGGTATTTTGGTACCGAAACCTATCAAGAATGTTGCACCATGTTGTCACAAATTAAATTTGTCTCAAATCAGGTGTATGTTCCTTTCACAATACCATCCGTTCATAAAGCTCTAAAGCAATTGAAAACACGCAAGATTTTGGAAAAACGAAAAAATAACTAAATTTTAGTGATAAATAAAATAAAAACCAACGTTTAAAAGCTTTAAAAACCATGGTACTTTTCTAGGATTTTTCAAGTGTTTTTACATCTAAGAAGAAATCTAAATTGGAAGCTTATACTTCGTATAAGTTTTCTCCAAGTAGGGAATATGGATTAATAGAAGGAGGTCAGATGCAATTTGTTTTTATTTAGAATTCTTTAAGTCCAGACCAGATCAAACCAAAACAGACTAGGCCAGACTTAAACAGAATCAGATCAGATCTAAATAGTCCAGACCCTACTTCGACAGTTACAAATACACATGAATCATGAACCAAACATTACCAAACCAAATTAGACAAGTTCAGACCAGACCAGACTAGAAAATTTCAAACCAATACTGATAGAGTATATAGACTCGGACCCCCGAGTCTCACGACTACTGGGCTTGGACAGTGACCCACGTACACTCAGAAGATAACATTTATATCATTGTACAATTCATATATCATTTGTATGTACTAGATTAGTCTTTTATGTAGTTGGGCCTATCAGACACATATTAGCGATCCAGTCCGTTATTTCTCTATATATACCCCTATGTGAGGTCTTGTAAACCCTAAACTCTTAGAACATTTCAATACAACATACACCACTACTCATCATCTTCTTCCTCTTATTTGCTCAATCTCTCCATTTAATTATAGTTTGGATACCCTATTATACATCATTTGGTGTTCTCGTTGAGAGTCATGAGCAAAATCAAGTGAGAAATCCTCCCAAAAAGATCACAAAATTCATCCCAATCACAAAAAGTTCAGCCAAAACCATTCTAAAAATGCAAAAAATAATTCTGAAAAAATGATTCTGGAAAATTCCAGGTCTGGAATGGAGCCACCAGAGCCGCTGGAGCCGCCGGAGCCTCCAGAACCATCCACAGTGCATCATGCACCATCTTCCCGGTAGATTCTTCCCAACGAGATCCCCGTCAAATAGAGAGCTGAAGGAAGAAGGCGGTAGGAGACTCATATCTTGGCCGCCAAATAACAAGCAGCTCCTTCTGTCACTATCCTTCGCAACAACGCCGTCTATTGTCAACACTAGAGGTCAACCAGTGATTACTACTCCACCTGGTCAGTCGCTACGCGAGCCTCCATTGGCTCTCGCCTCATTGCCGATGCGACCTGAAGGATCTGTCGGCTGAGATTTCATTGATTTCCGCTATTTATGGAGGCTTGGAGCTCGAAAAAAGGGTGTATTTCAAAGCTAAGGCAATGTTCGTCTGAAGGCTAGCCCCTGTGGTTGTCCTTGCACTGCGGAAACCTCCCTGACCACCGCCAGCAAGCGGCCAACAAGCAGCCAGCACGCCGGTTTGTCCTTGGGTTGGCGAGCAGGTCTTTCATCTGTTTACTCCATATATGATTCCTTGGTTCTCAGAGGGCCACATCCGTGGAGACAGAGGCGGCTTGAGCATTTTGAAGGCCCCAGTCTAACTTTAAGGTGTCATAAGTCTCAATTTTAAGCTCAATTCATATTTACTGGGCGTTGGTTCGACTTTTGGTATTTTTGGAGTCAAAATCAGGGAATTTGAGTCCGGCACCGGCGTTTGAGAAGCAATAGGGACGAGTTGAGAAGCATTTAAGAGTTGATTAGGAGCATTGGAGGTCAGTGAGGTGTTAAAGACGAAGTTTTGATGACAAAAGAGCTCTAGAATTGGCTACGAGATCAAATGAAAACGAGTAGAGCTTGAAAACGGCGGTCAGAATGGCGTTCTGTCAATCGTTCAAACATATCTTTTCTTAGGAACATCCAAAAAACACGATTCAAGTTTCATATGAAAGCCAACTTCAAGGATACAAATCGTATGAAGAAACCATTGCGAGAATCTGAGAGAAGAAAGGTTAAACAAACGATGAAATCAGATAATCTCTGTTGAGATTTCAGAATGCGACCTTCCACCATTTTATTCATATATTTTGATCGGATGATTCAAATCCAGTTTTGCAAGTTGTGTTGGATAGAAGTCTTCATTAGCTAAAACTTTGGTGAAGGAAGGATAGTCAGACGTGAACTATGAAGCCATTTATGCTTGCAGTTTCCGCTCGGTGTATTGACGGTCTGCGAATAACACCTAATACTAATACCGGAGTAGATTTTTTTGGAGGCCCCCTTGACAATTGAGGCCCAAGGCAGTTGCCTGGCCCAACTGCCCTTAAAGCCGCCCCTGCGTGGAGATACCAACAGCCTCCCATGCTCTTGGCTGGACAGATGAGGCCCCTCCATGATTTGACCGGTCAATCAACCTCTCATGCTCTTGGCCGAAGTCTCTTCTCAAAAGCTATAAATATCTTCAATGCTACAATGTGCACGATGCACATGCATGTGAGATAACCACATAAATATTACTACCTCCGTCCCGCTATGATTGTCCCGTTTTAGCTTATCGGTCCATCCCACTAAGATTGTCTCATACCAAATTTGACAAAGTTGTGTGGCTCTAAATCATTCTTACTTTATTAATTCAATATAAAACCACATAAACCACTTTTTATTGATTTGCGTGACGCTCCCTCTTCGTCCCATTGTTAGCGGGACGGAGGGAGTAGTAAATAAATTATCTATCTCCTTATTTGAATGATTTTATATAATTTTGATAAGTTTTTTTCTGTAATGTCAAGGAGACCGTCTAGATGTAGACATTGTAGTTGACATTGTTAAAATCATTTACCAAAATTGAATAAAATCATTCAAATAAGGAGAAAGATAATTTATTTATCAATATTCATGTGGTTATCTTTCATGCCACATGTGCACCGTGCACATTTTAGCATTAGAGATGCTATAAATATACTAAAACCTCTTTCCATTAGGGGTGGGCATAAAACCCGAACCAAACCGGTACCGAACCATCCCGTAATGGTACCGAACTGAATACCGGGTATTTAAATGGTTCTATAGATTTTTATCTCGTACTGAAACCGTACCGTTTGAAACGGGTACGAGACCGGTCCTAGATTTTGAGAACCGAAAAATACCGGACCAAAACGTGCGTAAATAATGCATTTGAATTTTTTTATATTCTTTCTATATCAATAGATCTAGACCAACCTAAAATGTGTTGTTTATATATATATATATATATATATATATTTAGATTCAGGATCAAGTGAGAAATACATCTTAGGAGAGAAAAAAGAATTAACCACAACCATTAGATTAAACCTTTTAAAAGAAACAGTTTCTCTATCGTAAATGACACAATAGATATTTTATCTTGTTAGTCATGAACATACGTTGCTTTCCATAACTTAATCCCTATGATTTCGGTCCAATTATAACTCTTTGTATTTACATCCCTCTTCATTATCTTAACCTATCTTATAAAGGCCAGTTTGTGGTATTAAATGTTCATGGTTTGTCATAGTTAGGCTTTAAAGTGTAGTACCATGTGCTATCATAGTTTCTCGTATGGACTATCTTTCAAATTGTTGACCTCACCGTCCAATTCTACAACTAACGGTGTTAACTTTGAATACCACACCTACTTGTGTTTAATGGCACTTACTCCAGGAATATCATCTACTCCGTATATGTTTATCATTTTTGTTTGACTATTCGACTGCAACATATTTGAATTTTTTTTTAGTGTTTAATTTTTGTGTCGATTTGTTTTCTTGATTTGAATTCATTTTCCAAGCAAAGCATCATACGATTCACACATCTCCGTTCAAGAAGATTTACCATCTCTTATGATTTTTAATTTTACATTCATATTTTAACTTTTCACAATTTCAAATACACAATTTCTAAAGTATCCTATGCTCTACGAAACTATTTCAACCTTCTTCACGGAGTTGTTTCCATTGGTTAATGAGTTTGATTGCATTTTAAATATTTTTTGCTCGAAGGCTATTTCCCTGTCACTAAAATTTTTGCAGTGCTTGTATTATACAAATGTAAACTTCGACAAAGCATAAATTTAGCTGATTAGCTAATGTAATATTCCCAAGCTCATTAATGTTATCTCGATTATAATTGAATGGTCTCAACAAGTCATATGAAATGAAATAAAATGCACACTATGAGTTTGATAATACGTAATATGTCAAGTTATCTCATTGTAACTACCTTCACATACAGTTTTTAGCTAACACACAGATCGGTTTTTACTTTTCTTACAGATTTGTTTCTGCTTAATCTTTGAATGATTCCCATTATTTTTGATAGCTTAAAAACTAAAAATAGTGAACTCATTTTTTGTGCATGTGTCCCTTTTGTGCATTGTCCCTTTTGTGCATGTGTAAATATGTATGATATCCACTCAATTTTTGATAGCTTCAAATTATGTGGAATATGCGATATTTATGCATATGTCCCTTTTGTGCACATGTAAACAAGGTTGATAATTCATTTGTTTGAATTTTGATAGATACATTTTACTATTTTGTTAGGCTAACACG